CTTCCTTCCTTCCTTCCTTCCTTCCTCTCTCTCTCTCTCTCTCTCTCTCTCTCTCTCTCTTTGGTTCTTCGATACAGGGTTTCTCTTCGAAACAATCCTGGCTGTCCTGGATCTCACTCTGTAGACCAGGCTAGCCTCGAACTCACAGAGATCCTCCTGCCTCGGCCTCCCGAGTGCTGGGATCAAAGGCGTGCGCCACCCCCGCCTGGCTGAGATGAGCATTTCTTCAAAAACAGACACTGTACTGCTGTCAAGGGATTTCTAGTTGTTGGTCAATTCAGCAACAAACGACCAACTGGAGACTTCAAGCGACCTTCTGGCGGGGCCTTCCGAGGGTCTTTGGAGGCCAGGGTCCTCGGGTGCGCATGCGCAGGCCCGAGCGGGTCCCGGCCCGTCTGTTGATTGGCTCGGAGGAGCCGCTCTCCAAGCTTCATCCAATGGAGCTGAGGCTTGGCTGGGACTGTGAGTGGCGGTTGAGGAAGCCTAACCGCCATGTTTAGCCGTGATGGCCGGAGCTGCTGGCCGGGTCGAGGCCGAGCCCGGGCCCAAGCTCGGAATCCACTTTCCTTGCCCTTGAGTGGCGTGAGTATCTGTGCGGGTCGCCTTCCTTCCGCGCCTGCAGGTGCTTTCCTGACTGCTAGAAAGAAGGGAGGGAAAAAGAGGAAAAGCCAGGAACCCCGACCCCGCCACCAGGCCCCGGGCCCACGGCCTTGGCATCCCGCAGAACCCGGGAGGCTGCGGACCATAAACCAGGAAACGGGCCGGCGGCGGCCCCACGGGCTGTCACACCGGAGCCTGAAGGAAAATGCCTACGGGGCCTTTCTCCGCACACCGCTGGGCACGCCACGTTCTTCCCTGGAGCCTCACGGTGCTCGGCTGCATTACGGGTGGACTCCGAGGGTCTAAAGTTTTATTTATTTTTCTTACTATTTTGTTTTTTTTTTTTTTCTTCAAGTCCTGGCTGTCTTGGAATTCGCTCTGTAGCCCAGGCTGCCCTCAAAACTCACAAGAGATCCGCCTGCCTCTGCCTCCTGAGTGCCGGGATTCAAGACGTGCTCCATCACTGCCTAGTTAGATTGTTGTTTTTTTTTCTGGAGCTGAGGATCAAACCCAGGGCCTTGCGCTCGCTAGGCAAGCGCTCTAACACTGAGCTAAACCCCCAACCCCAAATTTTGGTTTTAATAGAAAAGATAAAACACAAAATTTAATTCAGGAAAGCTGTGCCCCCTCAAACTCATTATATAGCTAACAATGACCTTGAACTGGATCTTTCTGTTTCCACCTTCCAAATGTTACAAGGGGAACCACTTAGTTGAGCATTGAGGGTGCTTCAGTTGAAGTTTTGTGTTTGAGGTATGCAAATCCATCCAGGGTCTAGCATGTGCTGCTAGACAAGAGATGTACTTTCAGTTCCCACGTTTTATTTCTTTTTGGTTTTTCGAGATAGGGTTTCTCTGTGTCGCCTTGGCAGTTTGCCTCTGCCTCCCAAGTGATGCTCCCAAGGCGTGCACCACCACAGCCAGCTCATCTTTTATTTCTTAAGAACTGTGGTAGGAGCCTAGGGTGTGTGTGTGTGTCTTTTTAAAAAAAAATTTTTTTGGCAGTTTCATAAGGGTCATAGCACATCAGATCACATTCATCCCCTCAATCCTTCCATGCCCTGGAAGACGAGGTATTTGCTAAATATTATTCCCTTCATTGTGGAAAGCAAAATTTGTTTTTTGTTTGTTTGTTTGGTTGGTTGGTTTTTGTTTTTCGAGATGGAGTCTTACTATTTATAGCCCTGGGTGGCCTCGAACTCACAGAAATATGCCTACCTGTGTGCTGGGGTTAAAGGCTTGCATCACCACACTAAGGTATTTTTTAAATTTATTTTTGTTTGTTTGTTTTTAAATAAAAAATGGTCATGTTCTCCAACTCCTTATTCTCCTGCCTCAGCATCTTGAGTACTGGGATTACAGGTTGTACCACCATGCTTGGCTTGATATATAATTTTTGGTTTGGTTCGGTTTTGCTTTTTTGAGATTCTGTCACAAAAGAAAAAAAGACAGCTGGAGAGATTCCTCAGCGGTTAAGAGCATTGACTGTTCTTCAGAAGACCCAGGTCAATTCCCACCACCCAATTAAAAAAAAACAAACAAACCTTAATTATTTGCCAGGTGGTGGTGCATGCCTTTAATCCCAGCACTCGGGAGGTAAAGCCAGGTGGATCTCTGTGGGGTACAGAGTGAGTTCCAGGAAAGGCACAAAGCTACAAAGAGAAACCCTGTCTTGAAAAACTAGAGAGAGAGAGAGAGAGAGAGAGAGAGAGAGAGAGAGAGAGAGAGAGAGAGAGAGAAAGGAAGGAAGGAAGGAAGAAAGAAAGAAAGAAAACGAACATGTGGAAAGTAACTTCAGAGGATAAAATGAATTTTCAGGTGGTGGTGGTGATGGCTCATGCTTGTAATTCCAGCATTTGGAGACTGAGGCAAGCAGATCACTGTGAGTTAGAGAAATCCCTTCTAAGTGATTCCCATTTATTGTGATTCTGGTGACTTTCATTCTGAGTATACACACCTACAGAGTTTGTTTCATTTTGTTGAGCAAGTAGAACATATTTTGTTATATTGCATCTTGCAAAATTTAATGTTTAACTTCATTATATTTTGTTTGGAATTTTTTTAAACTTTCTGTAGCCTTGAAAAATACAAAATAACCGAATATTTTCTAGCTGATTTTCCCCAGGGTTTCTTATAACTTGAAATATGGTCATGGCTTCCAGGCTGTGCTTGGTTGTCCCCCTGCCTGCCCAATCTTTCCTGCTCACCATTGCTTGAGATTCATTTATTGTCATGGAATATTAGTAAAATGTTGTCATAAAGTTCCAGAAACTTTGATTCCTTCTAGGAAGTAACAAGGGATAAAGGCCTATTTGATTCCAGTTAGGGGAAAGCAAGTATTTCAGTCCTTATTTTACTATTCTAAAAGCTGGAGCTATTTCTTCCTTTTAAAAGTTATCCAAAACTAAGGCTGGAGAGATAGCTCAGAGGTTAAGAGCACTTGCTGCTCTTGCAGAGGCCCTGGGTTCAATTCCCAGTACCCACATGGCAGCTCACAACCATTCATAACTCCACTTCTAGGGTATCCAATACCCTCTTCTGACTTCCCTGGGCACCAGACACACATGTGGTGCACATAGACATGCAAGCAAAACACTCATACACATAAAATAAAATAAATAAATCTTTAAAACTAAATAAATAAAATGCCAACTACACAACCTTTACATAGGAGACCTTAAGGCATCGATGACTCCTGAAGTCATATATTTCCTTATTAAGCAGCTCTTACCATTTCCTCCAGGAACTGAATTGGTTTGGTTGAACAAACTAACTTGCTCTTTTGGTCTCTGATACTCTACCAGGAATTTTCCTTGTCACCTTCCTTTGGTTTTTTTCAAAGATCAATTTGTGGCAGAGCTTTGAGCATTTAACCCTTTGTTTTACGGGACTGATTGCCAATACTTAGATATCTTATTAAATTGATAAGAATAGATACTATCTTGATCTTCGCTAAGAGCCCGGTAAGCTTATACACTGAGGCATTTTAAATAACCTGAAACGTTAAACAGTAATTTGCTTGCTTGTGTATTCTGACTGTAATAGTTATATGAGTTCCTCTATGCCAGCATGCTTGGCTGCCACCCCACCCCCCACCCCCCGCTTCAGTCCGAGAGCATTTAATCCTGTCTACCGCTTTTGGGGAGTAAGGCGATCTGCAGCGAAGGGTGAAGGGTGGGGACCAAGACTACCTTGGTGCCAGTCCCGGGACCTTAGAGGCGCAGTGCTGACGCAGGCTCTGACGACACGCGGAGCGCCGCTTCCGGTCGTCTGCGCTGCAGTGAATGATTTCCCCCGAGGCGGAGCTCGACCCACCTGAGCCGGCAGTCACGCCGCCCAAGTGGTCGAGCCTGCCAGCACTGCCCCGCCACCAGGGACCATGGCCACGGATTCCTGGGCCCTAGCGGTGGACGAGCAGGAAGCTGCGGCTGAGTCGGTGAGTTGTCACCAGCCACTGGATGACCGGGGGCAGTGTTGGTCAGGGTCTCGGGTCTCTTGGAAGGACACTACTTAGATTGCTCGGTGCAGGGCGGAGGGCCCTGGCGGGATGGAACTTTAATTAAAGCTGCCTTTGATTACCCAGACCCTCCCACATTGTGTGAACTCAGTTTGGGTGAGTACCCAGCCACCTGTCTGTCTTAGAATCAAGGTTTATAATTGATTGCACTCACAACCTCCGGTGGTAATTTTTTTTATACCTTCAGATAAGAGTTTCTTGAGCTCAGGGACCATATCTTACTCATATTTGTAAGACTCCTCCCACTTGGTTATTGGTGGTGGGTGATTGACTGGTCTATCTGTCAGTAAATTCTTGATTGGCTCTCTTTTTCTAAGCCTGATACATTGTAACAAGATAGTTAAATATTGCTATGTGGAATTAATTTCTAAACATTCTGAATTCTAGTAGAGTTGAACGTAACTCTGTGTGTGTGTGTGTGTGTGTGTGTGTGTGTGTGTATGAATTTTCCAAGAATAAGGATTTGTCCACTTTAACTTTTTTTAACTTGTAAAGCGTAAGATTTTCACCCTGGCATGATGTGGCACCTCTCATCCTAGCTGTTGGAGGTGTAGGCAGGATTGCCTTAAGTTGAAGGCCACCCTGAAAGGAAAAAAAGATTTATTTTATTTAGCTCAAAACTTTTATATATATGTGTATGTGTGTGTGTGTGTGTGTGTGTATGTATGTATGTATGTATGTATATATTAACCCACATAGTTTAAAAAGGAATACTGTTTGTACATTGAGGAGGGTATTTTTATTTATTTTTTTCTCTTTTGAGACAGACCTTTTATATATATATATATATGACTGGAACACCTGATCCTCTGCCTCTTATCTCCTGAGTGCTAGGATTACGGGCCTGCACCACTATGCCCTGTTTGAGAATTTTTTTTTCTTTTTTTTTTTTTTTTTTTTGAGACAGGGTTTCTCTCTAGTCTTTGGCTGTCCTGAGAACTTGCTCTGTAGATCATGCAGGCCTGGAATTCACAGAGATCCACCTGCCTCTGCCTCTGAGTGCTGGGATTAAAGGTGTGCACAAGAATTTTTTAAATTAATTTTTTAGATTAATATACAAAGTTCTGGATTTCACCGTGACATCTTCATACATATGTGTCATGATACTTTCTTGTTCTCTTCCCTCACTATTCTCCCTCAGGCCCTCTAGCTGGTTCTGTCTTCACCCAGGGAGCTCCCCTTCTGCTTTCCTTTATGTCTTATTTCCCACCTCCCATAAGACCTTTCCTCCTCTCTCATGATCTCCTTTCTAGTTTTGTGACCTATAAACACACATATAAATAGGTGCACACACACACACCTAGATAATGTTTTGTTTAGGTGCTGCATATGAGAGAAAACTTGTATTTGTTTTCATTTTCTGGCTTATTTTACTTAACATAGTCATTTCCAGTTGTACCCATTTTGTACAGATAACATAATTCCACTTTTCTCTATAGCTCCGTAAAATTCCACTGTGTATACTACATTTGCTTTATCTATTCATCTATTAATGAACATCTAGGGCAATTCCATTTCCTGGCTGTGTAACTATAAAAACAGATGTATAAGTATCTCTGGTATAAGTGGTATGTTGACTTAGTCTTTTATCCTTTGAGAACACCAAGTGTGGTAAGCTGGATCATGTGGATCATGTTCTATTTATTGTCAGGGTTTTTTTGTTTGTTTTATTTTTTTTTTTTTTTTTTTTTTTTTTTTTTTGGTTTTTCGAGACAGGGTTTCTTTGTGTAGCTTTGCGCCTTTCCTGGAACTCACTTGGTAGCCCAGGCTGGCCTCGAACTCACAGAGATCCGCCTGCCTCTGCCTCCCGAGTGCTGGGATTAAAGGCGTGCGCCACTACCGCCCGGTTTGTTTGTTTTTTAATGTTCGTACTGATTTATATACTGGCTGCATAAGCTGATCTTGTTAACATTTCCCAAGTACTGGTATTATAGGAATTTATAGTAGTCATGCACAGTTCATGCAGGTCTTGGAATTGAACTCAGTTTCGTGTTTGGCAGGCAAGTACTCTCTACCAGCTGAGCTACATTCCCAGTTTCATTTCTATTTCTTTCTCTTTTGGGTTTGTGTGTGTCTATCTAGTTGATTAGCCCATTCGTTGATTGAATGGTTTGGGGATTGGGGGTTTATTTTTCAAATTATTTTTAAAAATAAAGACAATTTTATTGATTGCATGTAATTTTAGGTATGTTAGCATATATTATAAACTTTAACTCACTATATAACCCAAGCTGGAATTTAATTTTCAACAATCCTGCCTCAGTTTCCCCCAGTTTGAGGATTACAGGTATGAGCCACCAGGCCAAGATCCCAGTTTTCATTATAATGTGATCTTTTAATTAAGTGGACATTCTGTATATTATTATTTCCTAAGTACTTTTTATTTTCCTTTGGAGACTGGATCGCTCTACACAGCCCTGGCTGTCCTGGGACTCACTATGTATATTCGACTGTCCTTGAACTCAGAGATCCACTTCCCTTCCAAGTGCTAGGACTAGAGGCGTGCACCACCACCGCCCGGCAGTAGCTCTCTTTTTAAAGGTCCTTGAATACTAGAATTAGACGATGTTCCTGGCAGGGTACTGGGGAGTACTTTAGCAGTGGCCTCAATGTATGGAGTACCGTCTGTGTCCTGGTACCTTCGTACTTACTGTCTGTTAACATGTTCTTGATCCTTCAGAATGAATGAAGGATTTGTATGTTTTATGATTTCCTTTTTTCCCTCTGCTGATCTCCTCTGTCTGCTCTCCCATATGTTCCTCCCCGCTATTCTGTAACACTACAGGTTCTGTAAGTGTTAGTTTCCAGGAAGACAAATGGGGTCCTCCAGCTGCAGCTAACCACCCATTCAAACAACTTTTTTCTTTCCTGCCTTGCTAACCTCCTTCCTCTTTTCCTTGTTTTTGGACTTAGAGAAAAGACAGAGAACCTGGCACTGATTTTAGAAATAAATATTTTGTAATGATTTTTCATTCTTTTTACCCTTTACTAGATGATAGCTGAGTCTCTACTTAATATTTTATAATTAGTGAAACTGATTTGTGCTAGATGCAAGTAAAAATATTCCCTGTCATTAGGTATTTTATGTATATGAGTGCTCTGTTTACCTACACTGACTCCTGCATGCTAGAAGGAGGAATTGGATCCCATTACAGATGGTTATGAGCCACTATGTGGTTGCTAGGAATTGAACTCAGGACCTCTGGAAGAATAGCCAGTGCTCCTAACCGCTGAGCCACCTTCCAGCCCCCCATGAAGATATTTACATTCTCATGGGCAGACATAATCCATAACAGGATATTTAGGATATTTCTAAATTTATACTGTTTGACAGTCTTGCTGATTGTCACTTGGCACATTTCTCTGGTCTGTTAATTCTTTTCTAGTTCCACCCGAACCTGTTTTGGGTAATTTTAGTGGTGCCTGGTGTCACAGTGCCCCAAGCTGTGCTAGTGAAAATGTCAGAGTCCTGCACAAAGCACCTTGAATGTGAGGCTGCATGTTAGCTGTGGTGGTCTGGCTCGGACCTACCCAGCAACATAACTAATAAGTCGTATCACTGCTGCTTTGCCTTGTAATCTTCTCTGCCTGGTGTTGGCTGTCTGAAGTGAGACTGCATTTTCCGTTGTATTTCTTTTCTTTAATTTTTATTTTATATGCATTGGTGTTTTGCCATGGGTGTTGGGTCCTCTAGAACTGGAGTCACAGACGCTCTGGCTCTGAGCTGTCATGTGGTTGCTGCGAGTAGAACCCTGGTCCTCTGGAAGAGCAGGCAGTGCTTTTAACCACTGAGCCCTCTCTCCAGCATCCCCGCATTTCTTTTCTTTCAGGACATGAGAAAATGACAGCTCTGATGAAAGAAAGTCTTTGTAAATGAAAGCATTAAGCACACTTACAAATTATAATTCTGCCTAGAACTGTAATTAGAAAGTGTGAGTCTGGGACTACTGTACACTTTTTTTTTTTCTTTCCTACTGCTGTATTTATGGGAAATTTTGTTATTCTCTTTCAACCATTTGGAAATAAAAGGAACCCAGCAGCACAATCTAATGAATCATTCTTACTGAATGTATCTAGTGAGTAGGTTTTGAGACTAGTTCTTCCACTTTCATTAGGGAAGCTCTGTTGACTCTCAGTCTTTTAAGTGATTTTCCTGACACTTTCCCTCCCCTCCACATTCTCCATTTAGTTGAGCAACCTGCATCTTAAGGAAGAGAAAATCAAACCAGATGCCAATGGTGAGTAACTAAAGCCAGTTGGAAAACAAATGTGATTTCTCTTTGGTATTTCTATTTTGATACAGCAACTACCTGTAAAATTGCTAGACAAAGGACTAGTGGATACTGATATTTGTTTGACTTGGGTGTCAATAAACTGGGATGTATAATTAAAGAATGTTTAATATAAAAATAAGAATACCTAGCTAGCATGTAAATTATTCAGTTTATTACTTACCATAGGACTATGTTGACAGAGATGTTGTTTTGGTGCCTGTCCTAGATCTCCCTCTGTAGATGTATCCAACAGTCTTATTAAATAAGAAACACAGAAGCAATGTAAAAGAGAAAGCCGAGAGGTCAGAGCTCAGAGCTAAAAATCTCACCCTTCCTCCTGCGCCGTGTCCCAGCTTCCCGAAAGAGAGCTATATCCTGTCTGTTCGTCTTTTTAAGTATTTTGTTCTGCCTTCTCATTGGTTGTAAACCCAAACACGTGACTGCCTCGTCACTGTCTGTATGTACAGCCCCCTAGGTCTTAAAGGCATATGTCTCCAATGCTGGCTGTTTCCCTGAACACACAGAGATCTATGGGATTAAAGGTGTGTGCCACCACTGCCACACTCTTGCTATGGCTCTAATAGCTCTGACCCCCGGGCAACTTTATTTATTAACATACAATCAAAATCACATTTCAGTACAATTAGATTACCACCACATCGCTCTGTAGCCCAGGCTGGCCTCAAACTCACAGAGATCCTCCTGGCTCTGCCTCCTGAGTGCTGGAATTAAAGGCGTGCACCACCTCTACCTGGCCAGAGATGATTTTCTTTTTAAACTGTTTTTCAGTTTTTAGTGAGATGCACATAAAGTTTGAGCAACTTGTCAATTTACATGTGCTAAATATCCTGAATGTATATGTTAAAAAAATATAAGATGGAGGAGTAGAGCTTTAGCTTAATGTAAAGTGCTTGCCTACATACACAAACAAGGCCCCAGGTTCTCAAGAACCACAAAACAAACAAAGCCAAGATCAGAGCAATATTAATATTCACCTCACTCTGAATATGCTTATGATCTTATATATATTTTTACATTACTACAATGTTGTTTGACTATATATTTCTATTAGTCAATCATTTACATACATGGAATTTTTATGGCATTGTGTTCACATTGACAATATGATTTGCAGATATTTTGTTGAGCACAAAGATGCTTCCTTTTTTTTTTTTTGGTTTTTTGAAACAGGGTTTCTCTGTGTAGCTTTGTGCCTTTCCTGGAACTCACTCTGTAGCCCAGGCTGGTCTCGAACTCACAGAGATCCACCTGGCTCTGCCCCTGAGTGCTAGGATTAAAGGCATGCACCACCATTGTCTGGCACAAAGATGCTTTCTAATCAATACTATTGTGTGGTCATGATTCTATACTATTTCAGAAATGTCAGTGCTGTGGCAGAACTATGCAAGTTTTGTTTTGTTTTTTTAATTTTTATTTTATGTGCATCAGTGTTTTGCCATGGGTGTCGGGTCCCCTGGAACTGGAGTTATAGAGAGTTGTGAACTGCCATGTACATGCTGGGAATTGAACCTGGGTCCTCTGAAAGAGCAACCAGTGCTCTTAACCCCAGAGCCATCTCTCCAGCCCTAAGTTTTTTTTAGACAGGGTTTGTCTGTGTAGCTTTGGAGCCTGTCCTGGAACTTGCTCTATAGACCAGGCTGGCCTTGAACTCACAAAGATCCACCTGCTTCTGCCTCCCGAGTGCGAAGATTACAGACATGCACTACCACCACCCAGCACAAGTTTTTTAAAAAATAGTTCAAAGGAACCTGGCAATAATCACACATATATAAGTGGTGTTTCTAAACTTTATTTTTTATTTATTTATCTTTATTTTATGTGCATTGGTATTTTGCCATGGGTGTCAGGTCCCAAGGAACTGGAATTATAGACAGCTGGGAGCTGCCATGTGGCTGCTGGGACTTGAACCCAGGTCGTCTGGAAGGGCAGTCAGTGCTCATAACCACTGAGCCATCTCTCCAGCCCCTCTAAACTTTATTTGGAGATAATAAATTGGTTTTAGTAGTAGCTTCGTTTCCTTATTTGTTTTGTTGCAAAAATTTGATAATTTCTCCCCCTAGAATTAGAATTGTCTTGGTTGCTAGATAAGGGATAAGATTTTGAATAACATCTACTTTGTTTCTGATCAAGGTGCTGTTGTTAAAACCAATGCTAATGCAGAGAAAACAGATGAAGAAGAGAAAGGTAATATAGTCTTTAAGCTATGTAAAGGAGATTCCATCTTCTAGGAAAAAAGTTATAACAAGGCTTTATTTATTTGTTCATTTACCAAGGTGTTTTTCAGACAAGGTCTTGTAATGTATCACTTGGTGGCCAGGAACTCTATATAGTTGAATTAGCCCTGAACATGGGGTAGTTTTCTTTCCAGTACCCACTGAGTTCTAGGATTACTGGCATGTGCCATCATACTCAGCTTGAAACTCGTGTGTGTGTGTGTGTGTGTGTGTGTGTGTGTGTGTGTGTGTGTGTGCGCGCGCGCGCGGAGGAGGAGGCCAGAGATTTCATCAGGTGTCTTCTTTAGACACTCTCCACCTCTTTTTGCATTTGAGACAGAGTCTCACTATGTCTTGGGACTCACATGTGCATGGGACTCAGAGATCTGCCTACCTCTGCCTCTGTCCCCTTAGTGCTGGGATTAAAGGCCAATGCCACCATGCATGGTCTTTCCACCTTTATTTTTTGAAATGGTCTCTCATTGAACTTGGAGCTCGTTAATTCAGACAGACTGCAGGCTAGCAGGTCCTAGGACCCTCTTGTTTCCTTGCCAGCATGAGTTAGACCCAACTTGAATAGGCGTCGAGTGCTAGGGTAAAGTTTAATGTAATCAGTATGTAAAAGAATTGATGGTTTAAAGTTCAGAGAAATTTTTCAATATTTATTTATTTATTTTTATTTTTTATTTTTTTTTTAGACAGGGTTTCTATGTGTGATTTTGGAGCCTTTCCTGGATCTTGCTCTGTACCCCAGGCTGGCCTCGAACTCACAGAGATCTGCCTGGCTCTGCCTCTCGAGTGCTGGGATCAAAGGCGTGGGCCACCACCGCCCGTCTAGCTTTTTATTATATTTTAAAATCAAAACTAATGTACTTGAATTAGGAAGCCCAGGGTATTACTTACCTTTGACTGTTAAACCCATGGACTCTTTAAACACTCCTGTCCTCTTTCTTCCTGACAGAGGACAGAGCTGCTCAGTCCTTACTCAACAAGCTGATCAGAAGCAATCTTGTGGATAACACCAACCAAGTAGAAGTCCTGCAGAGGGACCCAACCTCCCCTCTCTACTCGGTGAAGTCTTTCGAAGAGCTTCGCCTGTGAGTAGTCATTGCTTTCTGCATTCAGATAGAGATCATGGCCTGGTTATCCATATTTTTCATACCGCATTATGTTTACCTACATGAGGCTAATAATAAGCATTAGCTCCTTTGGGCTGTTATATAAAATGTTCGGGGAATCTGGAAAAGCTTTAGCCGCATCCTCACTTTGTTTTCAGTTGTCCTCAGCTCGATACGGTGTATGTGTACCAGTGAAAAGCAGACAGAAATCTCCTACATATTTGCCTGTGTTCCTCAACCTAAGTGACTTTCATCTTTAATTGTTTTTTTCTAGGAAACCACAGCTTCTCCAGGGAGTCTATGCCATGGGTTTCAACCGCCCATCCAAAATACAAGAGAATGCATTGCCTCTGATGCTTGCTGAACCGTATGTAACTCGACATAACTACTTCATCTGTCATTTGCTATTTGTAAAACAAACTTAAGCCTGTTGGCTCATACCTAATAATCCTCGATGTTTAGGAAGCTGAGGCAGGAGAATGAAAAGTTGAAGGTCTGCTCAAGCTATAAAGTGAATTCAAGGCCAGCCTCAGCAATTAAAAAAACTGATGTATACCAGCTATTTGTCTGGCTTTGTTTGTTTGTTTGTTTGTTTGTTTGTTTTTCGAGACAGGGTTTCTCTGTGTAGCTTTGCTCCTTTCCTGGAACTCTGTAGCCCAGGCTGGTCCCGAACTCACAAAGATCCACCTGGCTCTGCCTCCCGAATGCTGGGATTAAAGGCGTGCGCCACCACTGCCTGGCTCTTGTCTGGCTTTTAAAAAAGGATTTTATTACATTGTGTGTGTTGGTGCGTGTGCACACTGTGGTATGTATATGGAGATCAGAGGACAAATTGAGAGGTCACTTCTCAACTTCTACCATGTGATTCCCAGAAACTCAAACTCAGGTCATCAGGCTTGGCAGCAAGCTCTGTCACCTCCTGGGCCAGTTTGTTAGTCCCCAACTGTTATTTTTCCTCTGAACATACTGTTATGAAAAGCTGAAGACATTCAGTAAATTTGAAAGGGTTTTATAGGGAAATGCCCATATACCTACTACCTAAGTCCTACCACTACCGTTTGATTCTTCTTTTCATGTATTTGTCTACTAGTAGATGTCTTTGATGTTTTTTTGCTTGCTTTTGGTGGGATGTGAGGTTGATTTTTGGCCACAGTAAGAGTTGTTTTGAGACAAAATCTCAGTATAGCCCAGGCTTGCTTCAAATGCTGAAGATGATTTTTTCTTTTTTAATACATCTGTCTGAGCATATGCTACATGTGTGCAGGTACCTTAGCGGCCAGAAGAGGGAGTTAGCTACAGCCCCTAGACTGCTGACACAGTGCTGGGGACCAAACTGACATCTTCTGGAAGAGGAGCAAGCCCTTGTAAATACTGAGCCTTCTCTCCAGACCTGATGGTTTTGAATTTCTGATCCTCCTGCCTTCCCCTCCAAGTGCCAGGACTACAGGCATGCACTACCATGCCAAATTTATGCAAAGATAGGGGGTCAAACTTTGGCTTCCTTCATGCTAGAGGAACAATGTACCAACTGAGACACATCCCCAGCTCCCTAAATTTCTTTTCTTTCTTTTTTTTTTTTTTTTTTTGGTTTTTCAAGACAGGGTTTCTCTGTGTAGCTTTGCACCTTTTCCTAGAACTCACTTGGTAGCCCAGGCTGGCCTTGAACTCACAGAGATC